ATGATACCTTGAGAGTTGAGCTTAAGGGGTGGGGACAAAGGAGAGAGCAGGGGAAAAAAAGAAAGGGAACAGTGTCCAGAGGAGGTGGACAGGGCAAGGTCAAAAGCACCAGGGCAGTGGGGGCCTTGACAAAGAAGCGATATACTTCTCCCTGGGAGGGCAAGAGACAGCCATCAATCATTGGGTGCCTATACTGGTAGGTGGGCCATTCACTTCCATCCCTTCATTTATTCCTCCCCAAACCTCTTTGAGTTAGGAGTAATTATCTCCATTTTTCAGGTGAGAAAACTGAGTCTTGAGAAGTTAATAAATTACCCCAAATCTCACAACCAGTAAGTGTCAGAGGCTTAAAAACCCAATCTGTGTGTTTTTTCCCTAGAGGGAAGAAAGGAAAGGAAGATGACAATACTAAGAGAATTTAAGGTGCAAAGGAGGGAGGTTGAGGGAGCTTATATGAGATAACCCAGCTCTAAAGGCCAGATCCAGGTAGATCCCAAGTGGACAGAAGCCTGAGCTAGGGATCACCTCCATCCCTGATCTGCTGGGCTGGAAGATGCAGACTTCTGGCACAGTTCTCAACCATCCTGCCTCTTCTGGGACCCAAGCAGAAAGAAACCTCTCCAAATTCCAGTAACTGCCATCCTGCCCGAAGTACAGGCCTCTCTGTGAGAAGGACTCCCAACGAGCTTAACATACAGGAAAGTGACAGGGGGAAGGCTGGGGACGAGGTCCGCTTCAGCCCTCTGCCTCCATGAAGCACCATGAAGTGTGCCCTGCAAGCTGAGTGCCAGATATTTGGCTCTTGATGTGTGCCAGGAACTGTGCTGAGCATTTATGTCCACTACCTCTAGTCTTCACCATCACCCTCCAGTGTATATATGTCATTATTATCCTTTCTCTAGAGATCAGTGAACTGAGGCTCTGAGAGATGACGTGATTTACACGGTCTGGAGCTGGGATTCAAACCCAGGCTGTCTGGCTTTAAAGCCCACACTATTTGTATTACATCCTGCTCCCCTGCCCTGTGGGGAGTGAACAGAGGAAGATCAGGGCAGGGTCTGATGAAGATGTAGAAGGGTGGGTTCCTTGGGGGCTTGGGTCTCTCCACAATTCCCTCCTGTGCTTCTGTGGCTCATCCTGTCCCTCCCCACTCAGGATCCTCCAAGCGGGCCTAGAAGTGGAACGTCTCTCTCTCAGGAATTTCTTCCATCACTTCCATTCCAAGCGAGGCATGTGGAACCGCCGCCAGATGAAGATGCCATAATCCCAAGGGGCGACCTGCTGGACCGACCACTTCCTGCCCCTTGACTTGCAGCTACTCCCCCAGCACCTTGTTCGCTGCTGAGGGAGGTGAGAGGAGGGTAGCCGAAGCCCAGAGAGGCCTCAGAGCTAACACCCCTACTCCACCAGAAGCCGTTTTCTGACGTAGAGACAGCTGCAAGGCCCCTCTCTTCACCCTCTGGGCCTCCAGAGGAAGGACTTTGGGAATGAAGGCCAGGAGGGGACGCTGGCTCACAATGGACAGAGATGGAACAATTCCTGGGAAGGGTGGGCAGTGCAGTTAGATCAGGGAAGAAAGAACTGCTTGTGCAACACCATCCTAATCTGAGAGGTATGTGCCGGCATCCACCCAGTGCTGCTCACAGGAGCAGTGACCAAGAACTGGAAACTCTTCTATTGGACATATTTTATTGGGGTTAAATATTTTTTTTTAATCAGAAAACCAAAACCGTAACTGTCCAGACCCAACATTGACTGTGAGGGGGATGGAGTTGTGCATTTAGGGAGTGTTCACACTTCCACTCCCGTGTAGATATGTGTCCTTCAGCCCTTGACCCGGCAGCTGATTTATAATTAGAGGAGCTGGCCCCAAGCAGAGCAGTTCTCTGCTGTACCCCAGGCTCATACCTTCCAGAGACACACGCATCTCTCCCAGGTAGCCACTGAACAGCTGGCCACCGATTAGGGCATTCACCTTACCCTCCAGGCAGCGTCAACTTCAGACCATCAGAAGCACAGAATTGGCATCATCTTCCTGGTGCCACAGTGGGGTTGGGAGACGGGGAAGTGTTGGGTGGTGGGCTCGTCCCTGTTGTTTGGGGTATAGGCCATGGTGGGACAGGCAAAGTGGAAGAGTCAGGGAAAGAAGACCCTTCCCCTCCCAGCCTGCCTGTGAGCTCAGGCCCTGGCAGAGAGGAAAGACGATGTGGGTATAAGTAATTCATCAACTTAGATGAGAGGAGGGGGTGGGATTCCAGCAGGAAGAGATGAAAAGGGAAGTGGAAACCTTAAGTCCTCACAGTGCAGCTCCCCTGGACTCGTCCTCCTACAGGGAGAGCCCCAGCCTCAGCCTTGTGTGGAAGAAGAGGAAGTGGTGTGGGTGAAACTGAACCATGAAACGGGGACCAGGGTAGGAAGCAGCAGGGTGACAGGTTTGGGGAGGTGAGTACATCATTCTGAGATCTCTTCCCCACGTGGAAGGAAGCAGGGGCCAGGAGGAACTGAGATATGAAGCCTATTCAGGGAATAGCCCGTGGCCTTTGTAGTCTAGGCCAACCTTTCTGTCACCTGATGGCCACGCACTTATCTTGCACTAATAATTCCCAGTTACCTTTGCAGCTGGGGATTCTTCTACTGCTGCTGCTGCCTCTGCCGCTGCTGCTGAATTCACCAGTGGTGCATTGGGCTCCAGTGTCTATTTAGGGAGGCGAGCACAGGGCTTTTTGCTGTGGCTTATGGGGGGTGCAGCAGGGCCTAGGAGGCCAGTCAGCTGGCCTAAGATCCATACTGTGACAGCCCAAGGAACAGCATTTGGAGCTGCAGGGTCTACTTGGTTGGGCCCTGCATTCACTAAGAGCATAAACTTGGCATAGGGGAGAATGGAGCACATTGAGAACCCTTGAGCTTGAAGAGAACCCTTGCCTCCCTCTTAAGAAATCGGAAAGGACAAAGACTTTTCAATGAATAAGTTGTGACTTATGGATGCCATACCTGCCCCCTGGACTGTGGCTTTTTAGAGTCCCTGCTCAGGCTTACCACCTTTGGCAGAGGGCTGTAAGGAGTAGGTACAAGCTGCAATTGGCCAGCTAGGGTGCTAGGTTTCTCTCTGGGGCCACTCTTGTCCTTGGGCATTCACTGGAGGCCTGAGCCAGCCCAAACAGCCCTCCTGCTTCACTTTTGATAACAAGAGCCAGCCCAGTCTCCCTCCCCCTCCCCTGCCTTGCCTACCAACCCCTCTGTCCCTGGCCAGTGCCTTGTGTTTGCTGTTTCTTACCTCTACACCATTTGCCTTAATGGGGAGGACCTGGCAAGGGCTCTACTCTGTAGGAAAATGTCTAGGGTGGGAGGAGGGAGCGGGATGATGGGAGAGAAAGTGTTAAATACAGCATCTTCTTAGAAAACAGAATGGCTCTTGTGTTTTCCTATTGTCCATCTTGGTGGGAGAGGGTTGGGATGAGGGTCTCAGGGCTCACATCTCTGTCCTTTGGCTGTCTGGCCTCTGAAGGACGTGCCAAGGACCCTTGCGCACCACTCCGCACCCTTTACCATTAGTTTGGTGTCTGCTATATGGGGGACAGCCTTTTCTGCTGTGGTTTATTCGGGAAGGGACAACATTGTTGAGGACAACATCTTGTATGAGGAGCTCACAATCTGATAGATCAGGGATTTTCTGTTCGGCAGATTGGTGGTTTCAGTGGAGAAAGGCTGGTGGACACCTTGGATGAATAAGGCTAGATATAGGGCCAGAATGGTTAGTGGAGAGAAGCTGAGATGTGGCTTATTCTACAATAGCAGACAATCTAAAAATCCTTCCTGTTTGATCTGGGGATGCCCTGTGGATGCTTTGCAGGTGCAAACTGACCTTCCTAGTTATATTTGGTCTAGGCAAAGATCAAAATGAGTTTGTATTCTGTAAACACATGCCTAAGAGAAGGTGCTAATATGAAAGCTAGAATAAGTTTATAGTAGGTTCTCAAAAAGGATTGTGTATACATGTGTCAATCTAGAGTGGGCTAATCTGCCATTGATATAGCAGATGGTAATTAGCCCGAGGCATGTGGGGCCAGGAAAGTTGACTAGAGCAGGACCCAGAGGAGAGAGAGTGCTTTAAAAGCCTTTTCTCCCTCCAGGCTTAGGGATTGCTCCTTTGAGCCCCTTCCGGGACACAGATGGAGATGGCAGACCAGATGCAACTAAAGACATAAAAATCGACTCTCAGTGGATTTGCAGAAATCTTATAGATAGAAATAATTCTATTTTACAGACAGAGTAAATAGGCCTGGAGCAGAGAGAATGGATGGGGCAAAGGGAAAGAATGGGGTAGAGTCAGAACCAGAGTCCTTAAGCTGGGTGGCGTTGGCCTTAAATAGACACACTTTAGATGCAGGAGATGCTCCCAGAAGGAAAGACTGGCATTATCCCAGACTGAGCTCAGGGCTCTAGATCAAGATGGAATTCACTTAGACCGGTAAAATAGCCCATCTGCATTCAGATGCTGTGGGTAGGAAGCAGGTATCCACATTGCCCTTTCAGGAGCTCTCCCAGGAGCTGTGGAAAGTACCCATCAGCCTGGTAGATCAAAGAGGAAAGAGGCAGAAGCAGCTTCAAACCCAGTATCTGTAGGGGAAGCAGAGAAGAGGTTGTGAGGGCAGCGCTCTCAGACTTTAATGTACACATGGTTCCCTTAGCAGTCTTCTCAAAATGCAGATGCCGATTCAGTAAATCTAGAATAGGGCCTGAGATTCTACATTTCCAGCAGCTTCCAAGTGCTTTCGTTGCTGCTGGTTCATGGACCACAGTTTGAATAGCAAGGACTGTTGGACAATGACAAGGAGAAATTCCTTATCTCCATCCTTCCTCTTGCTGGAGGGGCAGAGTCAACTGCTAACTGCATTGCCTCCCTTGGGTTTGTGGAAAAACCCAAGCCTAAGAACTGAAGGAGAGTCCCCATCTGAGCTCTTCTCCAAGATTCCCTCCTTACTCCAGATCTACCTTCCCCTCTTGCTTGGCAAGGATTTCTTTCTTACCCCAAACCCCCAGAGGTGAAAGAAGGGCCACCTGGGGAGCCGTTGAACCTGGGGACCTCTCATCCTTCCTCACCTGGGTCCCAAGCTGAGTTCAGACAGGATTCCTTGAGGTCCTGGCCGCCAAGAACCCTGTCTTATGTGCCCCGAAGGCTGTAATGAAGACATTGATGACGACGGTGATGAAGACCAAGGTGGTGGCAGCATTGTTGAGCTGGTTTAGTTGCCACTGCTTTTCTACCTCATTGAGGTTCAGCCGTGCTGTGAAGAAGTGGGGAATGGGAGGTAAGGGTCAGGGTAGGGGCCACAGCCTGGAATTTCCCTCACAGCCTCCACTAGGGTTCAGGGAAAGTCTGGCACCTCAGAGATAGATCCATGTGGTAGATATCAAGGGAGGCGGTGGTCATTGCACTAGAAGCCTTTTCCCTTACTGACCAGTGTGTGGGTCATTCATGTGGTGCTTACTAGAACTGGGATTTGGGAACTCACACTGGGTCTTCTAAGAGTGAGGATACGAGCTCACACAGAAGGCAATAAGGAACTCTGCTAGTGAGGACTGTCATTCAGCAGGTATTGTGATGTGGCCACTATATGGAACATCAAGAGGTAGGGCAGGGTGCTTGTGATCACTGTGTAGGTGTTACTTGGGCATTTGCAAGTGCGGAGGGCTAACACCAGGTTAGCGCGTGGTCGAGAAGTTTGCATGTCCAAATGCAGGGTGGTCAAGGGACACACTTGGGATTTTTCTTCCCACTAGGGGGCACCGGGGCCAACTCCAGGCCTGGGCTCACCAATGACCACGAGGAGGATTCCGATGACGACCTGCAGGAGCAGAGAGATGCTGATGAGGGTGACGAGGGTGGTATAGTACTGAGAGGACGGCCCCTGCTCCAGCACCGCTTTCAGCCGCATGGCGTTGGACATGAAGAGAGCCACGTCCAGCATGCTCTCTGCCACGCTCTTCTTGGTGGCGTAATGGTTCAGGTTGATGGGCTGGCTCCTCCTGGGGTTGGGTGTCGCAGGCTGAAAGGGAGAAATCACAGGCTTACCCGGGAGGCTCTAGAAGGGAAGCAGTTGAGGAACTGGAAAGGAAAGGTTTTAAAGCTCTCCCCTAACTGGGGGTGAAACCAAGGGCAAGAAACACTTCTCATTTTTATGACTTGAAAGAACTCCGAAATGATGTTATGTTATAATTTATATTTCATGGTGGGTAGGGGATACCCACCTTCAACATATCCATCTGAAGAAGGGAGAGAATTCTCAGCTGCTTATATAATGTGCCTTCCTCATTTTATTTGCCACTTTATCTGGGCCAGGCCTGGCGTTGGGCCATTCTGTTTTCTTCCAAGAGGAAAACATCTCAGAAAACTAAAGCAGGAGCTCTGCTTTGGGTGGAATAGAAAAGGCTCCTCTTCTCCCAGAATGATGTGCCTCCAAGGCAGGATGCATAGTTTCGCAAATGGATCATGAGCTGAGTTTAAATCCCACTCAGCCCCTTAGCCAGGAGCACTGGAGCCACAGCAGTTCTCAGGCACACTTGTTAGCCGTCAAACAGGCCAACATCAGAACACATGTCTGTATACATGTATGTATGCATGCAGCCCTGCATACCAGTTGAAAGCTCTTAATTTGTCTTTTTTTTTTTTTTATTTTCCTGCTAGGATTTATTGATGTATAATTTACATTAGATTTGATTTTGAATTAAAAAAAAAAAGCTTTTACTCTCACGAAGTCACTAACTCCAAGAGAATGAGTTACAATGCAGGGCATATGATTTGGACCTCTGGGTTGAGCCAAGAAAGTCAGATTGGGTGCTGTAGACAATCTGCCGTCACTCAATAGAATTTGGCTACATTTTAGGGAGATTAATTTAGGAGTGGTGCTTGGGATGGATTGGCCCAGGAGAGCCCAGAAACAGGGAGACCCGTCAAAAGATTATGATACTGCTTTAGGGTCAGGGTGACAAGGAATTGAACTGGTGTGGTAGTAAGATAGGAGAGGAATGAAGGACTTTGAGAACTGTTAACAGCCAAGGGTAGAGAAGCTACCTCAGCAGATGACCACAACAAGATATCTGTTGAGAGGGTGGATGGATGGATCGTGGATGGATGGATGGATGGATGGGTGGATGGGATGGGTCTCAGCAGGTTCTGGATGCTGGGCTTGTTTGGGGCCAGCTGGCATGGTTGGTTAGTGCTGGGATGCCAAGGCCAAGAACCCACAAAGACCCCAAGGCTACAACCTGTGGTCCTAGCCCATTAGGCAGTGGCTCCTGGGTTCAAAGGACATATTATGTGAGAGTCTATGGAGCAGCCCCAGCCCTCTCCACAATTCAAAGCGCTTCTGCCCAGGAACCAGGCTTCCCTGACCCCCATCTTCTCCTAGGCAATGCTCACTTCTCCTCTCCTTATTCCACTCTTTAGTTTGCCCAGTAGCTACAAACTTTGCACTTTTTCCTCCTTCCAAACCAGGCTCTCAGATCAAGATCTGATAAATTATGAAGTGACTATAAAAACTTCAAGAGAGAGAACACTTTCTCTGAAAATTTGCATATTAACAGTGGACAAAACCTTAAACCCAAACCTCTAGTGGTGTGTTTTATGTGTGAGGGAGTGGATACTTGGGGACACAGAGATGTTCCCAAGCCTCAACAGAAAATACTGTGATTTGTAAGCTTTATTAGAGCTGATAGGCTTTTGTTGTTAAATTGATCTTAGAGCCTCATCTTTTCCTCTCTAACTTAGGGCCCTCTTTTATTTTGATTTTTGCCAATCCAGGATGCTTTTTGAGTTGATATGGTGGTGGTGGGAGGCTCTGCAGGGCACCACCACCCCTTCCCCCACGCCCCCACCATGCCTCCACCCTAGCTTCTGAAGACACTAGTTTTCCAGAGTGTCCACATGGTGGCGTGCGGCATCCAAAGAAGTTACTTGGGTACCCGGGTTGCTCTGGTGTCAGGATGGTATTTCTCCCCTGAGGAATCCACTGAAAGAAGGGACAGGGTTGGTGTGAAACCTGGACCCCTTGGAGGCCCAGGACAGGGAGCCTGGTTCACGACTCTGGATAGGCCAAACTGAAACCCACCAAACGCGTGTCAAATGAGAGTTCAAAGATAAACCAGTACTTAGATGGGGCCAGAAACAGAGTGGTGAACCTCCGGGACAGAAACCTGGGGAGGGGCCTCCAGCACCAACTGCAGCATGAGGGATTGTGGTTAGAAGAGACATAGTTATGAGACACTGGAAGAAATTGCTTTTGAAAGGGAGAGAAATGGTTTTCTTAATCCTTCTGGGGTCAGTTTAGGTGCAGCTCTGCTCTGAGGCAGACCGCTGGCTGAAATAACCTGAGGGTCCTGCATTATGGCCTGAGGATTCTATTGGATGAATCCTCAAATCCCACCCTTTTTACTCACAGCCCAGAGACTAGGAGCAACTCAAGGAGGGGGTCAAGAGAGGAAGGTGGGGGTGGCAGAAGGGCGGGCAGGCAGGGCGGGCCTTCTGCTTCCAGGAGCTGGCCCTTTAAGGCCCGGCCCAGGCTGGCCGGGAACAAAGGCCCGGGAATGTGGGCTGGGCCGGCAATCGGTGCCACCCAGCGTGAGTCATTTATATTTCATGGGACTGAGAATCACTGGCTCGCCTGCTCCCCTGGCCCCAGCCCCCTCTGGGGCTGACTGGCAGGAGCTGCCTGAGGTCCGCCTGCTGCAGCCTGCAGAGACGCTCTGCCAGAGCTTGCTGGAGTGGGCTGGAGGCCTCCCTTCCCCTCAAACCAACATGCCCTGCCCTAGCTCCTGGCCTCTTTCATCCGGATCCTTAGAGCAGGGACTGGGGAGGGGGAAGTGAGGACTCCTGGCTTAAGGGCCCAGCTTTGCCTCTGGGTGTGGCACTTTGGGCCTCAGTGTCCTTATCTACAAAACGGGAAGAAAATCCCATCTCTGAAGTGGGGGAAGCTATGGAAAGACTGAAGAGAATTTGTTCCTCCCCAGAAGGAAAGACAGGACTCCAAGCTCTTCTTATTTGTTCCTGTCTGAGATCTGTCTCTCAATGACTCTCTCTCAGTATCTTATGTCTTATTTTATCCAACTCCACTCAACCTCTCCACTTTTACTGGAGGGCAGCAGAAGGCAGAACTAGAGACCCCAGAGTCCTTATTTAAAATGCATACACCCCTGGGAAAGGCAACCTACTCAAATCCTGCTGACCAATGACATCTGAACACCAATGGGGAATTCTGATTGATATGAATTGTAGCAGGGTTGGGTGTGGGGGAGATGGGAGTAGGTCCAGTGTTCTGATCAGGAGTACAATGGGGTTCTGGGCATCAAGAGGACATGGGTTTGGTGATGGGAGTGGGATGATGCAAGCGGGTTGGGGACATGACAGATCCTTACCACCACCACACACAGGTTTCCCAGTTTACCCCATTCCTGGCCCTGCCATCATTTCCCTCCCTCTTCCAGCTCGGACTTCCCTGGGTAACAGGCTCTCCCGCTAAACCCCAGCTCCTCAGGCCGGTGTGGATTCCAGCCCTTGAAGTCATGGATTATTCCATTGTTCTGCCAGACAATTATTTATCCCTTAATCCTTGTTGACCTATATTTTTGCATTTTGTTTTTGTTTATTTTCAAAACTTGGTGCCTAGGAAAGGAATGCTTCTTTTAAGAGAAAAGTAAACAAATTTTTACATTGTTTATTGACATTATGGTCAATGGGGGGAACCACAAGCTTTAAGAGATCATTCTTGGAAACAAGATTTTGAAGGGATAACGGCCCTACCAAAAAGCCAAGGAATACATGGCTCAGAGTGTTTAGGACCTGGAGCAGGTGGCTAGCAGTGAGTTCCCTGTGGGGAAGGAGCCTAGAGGTAGGGATTTGTGGCAGCCAGGAGAGTATCACAGAAGGCACCCTGGACCCAGGTTCAGATCCTGGTTCTGCTACAAGCTAGATGTATAAGCAAGCCTGGTGCCATCTCTGGGCTCCTTTTCCTATCTGTGAGATGAGAGGGGTTGGAAGAAGTGATTTTTTGGGGTCCCTTCTAATGAAGAGTGATCTTGGAGTGGAGAAGTCCCCTCCTCTGAGTGGAGAATTCTCTGGGGATGAGGACAGTACCCTGAGAAAGGCAGAGGTCAGGCAGCTGTGGAGCCAGGCCCAGGGGCAGATCCAGTGAGTCACTTTGCCCCAGGGCATTGGTGACCTTCCAATGAGTCATTCCTGTCAACCCTGAGAAAAGCCATATGGAAGTCTCCCTGTGTATCGGTTCAAACTCAGGGCTACAGACAAAATCAGCTCAGAGGGGCAGTGGCCTGTTGGCTCTTCTGTGGGTCTCAAAATGACAGACTATCCAGAAAAGATAGGTCTCACCTGAAAAGGAGATGGCAATGAGCCAGGCCTTCAGAAGGCTGGTTTCTCATACAGGGAAAGGGCGGATCCCAGCCCAGGAAGAGTGATTCGTTCAAACGTATGGATTTGGGTGACCTACTATGCCCATTTGCTTTGAAATTAGGTGCCTGAGATCTTTACTTCTCTGTCAGAATTAAGTTTGAAAGGGTACCTGGGTCTGTCATACTGTGTACACACACAGTAGGCTCTCAGTAATTCCCGTTTATGGAGCACAAACCTTGTGCCTGGCACAAGGTTCAACATGGGACATGAGCCATCTTATCTAGTCCTCACAACAGCCCTGTGAAGCTGGCGAGGGCATGATAATCATAGTCGAAAAAGCAAAGGCTCAGAGAGCCTAAGTAACTTGCCCAAGGTCACAAGTGCAGTTTTTATCCCAATTCTCTATGTGCCAGAGACTACTTTTAACCCCTACTCCACTACAACCCAGAAGTTGAAGACATACTTCCTGCCTCTGAGGAGTTTAGGATCTGAAGATAAAAATCTTCGTGATTTTTATGAAAGAAGACAATCGAACAATCCCTTAAAGGTACATACGTACACTTGCTAAGAGGAGGTATAACACCTTTACCTGCATGGAACTTGAATTAGGTTTTTCCGAATTTACAGTGGGGCTGTGTCCTTGAG